TATGTAATTATTTTCAATTTGGGCCCTTATTTGTAATTATTTTCACTTTTCGGGCCCCTATATGTAAATTCCCCTTTGTTTTAACTAAATTGTTAACGCAAAAAAATATTATCCAAATTACTATTATCTATTAACGTTAAAATTTGATATATATTCTTACCAGTAAATTTTGAATAATAACACATCCCTTATGGCTAACTCATAGTTGGTATTTATTTACATATGTTGCAATGAGCCAAATTACAGTAAATAAAATACTCTTTATTTTGTAAACATTATTTTGGCTTTTAACAAAAGTTGCAGAATCTGGCTCTGAAGATAGTGAGATAATCTTAATCCATAACTCTAAAGTTTTCACAAAATTTTTATTAAAAAATATAATAAAAGTATGTTTATGTATTGAAAACTTATAAACGCATTTACAATTTTTGAAAAACTATATCTGTTGTTTTTAAAAAACTAGCAAACTTTATATTTCTATATTCATACTAATAAATTCTAAATGATTTTATATATTACATTTAATGCCATTATTATTATTATTACCAACTAAATAATATAATTAATAAATTTACTACTATAAATTAAATAATTATCAATATTAACATTATTTTCTATTACTATTTCTTCATCAGATTTCAAAAACTCGGATACAATTTCTTTGTTGTTTTTCCAATATATAATAGTTTCATAAATTTCTGAAGCTGAAGGTCGTTTTTCGGGATCTTTAACCCAACACTTTTTAAAAGATCTGCATAACAAGGTGCCGTACCTTCAAGAATAGTTGGTCTCAATTCCGAATGAACTTCTATTGCCAATCTTGAATTATTATATTCGTATTCAGAAAATATAACTCTTCCCGAAGTAAGTTCCCACATGATCATTCCGAAAGAATATATATCTGACGCCTTAGTAAATGAACTTCCACGTAAAACTTTAGGTGCTACATATGGTAAAACTTCATAAATTCCGGATACTATATTCGATGTTTTATTAACTGAAGTTGCAAATCCTAAATCATCAATATAAGCATTATGTATCATTTTGAAATATATTATCACTATGTAAATCACAGTAAATAATATTATACGCAATACAAGATAATAATTCTAATTTTTTCTCCCATTACATCTGTGCAATAGTGTGAAGATTTCTACGTAAAGTACCCATTTTTGCATACTGCATTACTAATATATAATCATCAGTAGCTTCATCTTTTGACATTCCGTAACATTGTAGAAATATGGGGCTTTTGGATCCAATCTTAGAATATGTATTTAACTTTAAAATATTAGTAATCAAACAAATAAAATAAAATAAAGTTGTTTAATAATGTTAAATATTAAACATTTGCCTCTTTCAAAAGTTCCTTAAAGCTATCTTTGGATCAATTAAATATTTTAAGCGCGACAGTTTAATCCAAAACGCCATTTTTGACAGGATGTATCCATCTACCAGAATACACAGTTGCAAATCCACCCTTTCCTATCATTTTAATGTATTTTAATTCACTAAATGGAATCCGTAATATTAATGATTCGTCTAGAAAATCATCAATCTCAAACTTTCAATTTTAATGACTCCTTTATAATTATTGTGGAAGCTGAAGCTGAGATCGGTTGAAGCTAAAATCTTGAAATGTTTAATATTAAATTTTAAAAACTTTTAGGGCCTCTTTTGTCAGCTTTTTTTTTAAGGTTAGATTAGGTTTAGGGTATGGTTGCTGGTGCAAGTGGTGCACCACTACTGCACCATTAAGTTATCATATAAATTTAAAGCATTGCACCAGTGGCGACGCCACCTGCACCAGCAACCCTAGTTTAGGGTTAGTTTTATTAATAATAAATTTTAGTAGATATTATAGATTTAAATAGAGACCAGCAATCTTCCACAATTATTATTACTTTTTGCTTTTGGCTAAAAGTTACTTCCAACCAATCACAGATTTGCATTTATTTTAGATTTCCTGATTCCCAGTGTGATACATGAATTTGCTAATCACAGTAATTTGAAAAGCGCAATAAAAAAAAAACTTTTAAAGAATTATTACTTGCATAAAAAATTTCAATTCCAGTTTTTGTAGTGTAAATCTTTACCATGGTGCAAATTGCTAGTAGATTATTATATGTATATAATGAGAGATCATTTGCAGTAGGATATTGTATTTCAAAATTCCCAGTTTTCACATTCCACTGAAATTTTTCTAACAAGTAGTTGTCCATGTCTAGATAAGATACATTGATCAAGTTTAATGGCGAAAGCAAAAATATTTTAATATTGCAAAATATTTTTAAATTTTTAGCATTAATATTGACAGAATATAAATAAACTTTTGAATCATTTATAATAACAAAATCGCCATTTTTAAAAGGAAACAAAAACTTCAGAAGTATATAAATTCTGTTCGTTAAAATTTAGAATCTTTACTCATTCATCCTTATTAGTATCATTAGTATTATACATAACTACATTGTTGAGTAAAAGAAAACAAACAAATATTGTGCTAATAATGTAAACTATAAATGGGTTTCCTGATGTTGCTCAAACAATGGCAGCATCCTGAATTGTGCATCAAAAAATACAATATTTAACATTACTCAAGAGGTTTCGCTCATTAAGACTATCAATGCATCATTTGATAATTCTCCCAATTTATAAATATTTTCACTATATTCACTATTTCTATTTTCATCAAAATCTGTAGCATTATAACTTGAACATGCTTCTAAATGAGTTTCATTATGCTTAACTGGCATACAAGAATAATTTCATCTTTTTCACTCAAAGTTGCAATTTATTTGAGATTATTTAACAAATCAAATTTGAAATTTTATAGCCATGTGGCATAATTTCTTTTCCATTTTTATCTTTAGACCTTGACATTGATATATCAATTTGAACATCATCTTGTTTACTGTTTGACATTATTACAATTATCTATTGCTCAGAAAATATACAATAGTAAAGGAACTGATATTTAGAATTCCTGGTCTAAAACAATCATTTAGGAAAGCCAAAATAAAAGATTAAATTAGTCATACACAGCCATATAAACATTTATACGTTGCTTAATCTAAACCTGCAAACAATATTTCATGACTTTCCAAATATTTTTTTAAGCCTTTATGTAATAACTCTATATTTTTCTAAAGATTTAATAAGTTATATACCTCTCTTCAGTGTTATAAATAGTTGTAATGTATATTCAATCAATGTAGTGTATTAGATTTAGAAAGTCACTTGACAGGTAGACTATCATCCAGATGATCAACCAGGTGAGCAATTTAAAAAATCGCATTATTTTTTTTACATAGCATGATAATTAATGCTTTCGAAGCCTGCCTTGTTGTTATTTATTCTTTATACTGTTTGCTGTTATAATGAGCTTGAAGTGTAATCAAAAATGAATTTTAAACCTTGAACTTTAGAATTTCAGGAACTGTTGATTATAATATGAGAACTATAACTTTACAGGGACCATAGGTATCTAATCATTACTTAACAAAGAAATTTTTATAAGACGTGATGAAAGAGGCATTACAACTAGAAATATATGAAATTAATAGTCATTTGGGAATAGTCGTAATTTTAATTATAGAGAATTGGCATGAAAATATTGTACAACTATATAGTGTTTCATACCATAATTATTTATTGTACTAATTTTGTTAAAAATACATTAACAAGTATATTAAAGATTTTAAAATATTAAGTAAAACTATTTACATAGACATTTAGTGATCAGACATTTTGACTAGCGTTGTAAACGTAATCAAATTAATTTGTATATTTAATAATTTTTGTATTATTTAAAGACCAATAGTATCGTGTAAATATGAACAGGAGGAACCATCGAAGTTACATGACTGACCCTTCACCTGGTGTGCAACATATAAAAATTATTTACAATACCAGATCATTCCGCTAGTACATGTTATGATTATAAGCCAACACCATTTTTAATAAAATGGTGTTGGATTATAATCATAACATGTACTAGCGGAATGATCTGGTATTGTAAATAATTTTTTTTATCCGATATTTCATATGATCATATGAATTTTTTTGCCATGATATTTTTTACATGAAATTACGCAATCAGTTTTGCAAAATTTCACAGAAAAAACTTCACATGGCATATTAACTATCCGATAACATCATTATTGAACATACGTACGACAAATAACAGTCAATGTTTTTTTTCATCGGAGTTAATTTCACTCATGTGCTGCGTAGCAGCACATGGAGTGACATTAATTCCGA